CGCCGACGCGCCGTTGAGCGTTTTCCTGGTTTCGCTGCCGTCGTCAAAGCAGACGATTGCCACGTGAACGGCGGCGGAGCCGGGTTCCTCCGGTTTCCATTCAAAATCGTCGTAGGCCGCGAAAATGTCGCCGGTTTCCTTGATGCGCTCCAAAGTGCGGCGGTTGCTGCTGAACCGTATCGCCTGTGTGGCCAGCAGGCCGGCCCGCCCGGCCTTGCCGGCGGCAATCTGCGCCCGCGCCTGCTCAAACCAGTAGCAGCACAGGTCGACCGCGCCGTCCGTCTCGCCGGCGTAGGTCTGCCGCAGCCGGCCGATGTAGTCAACGCCCAACTCGGTCAGCATATCCTTTGCGCCCAAAAACGGCGGGTTGCCCACGATGAACTCCGCCGCCGGCCACTCCGGTTCTGCCGGATTATCCGGGTCCGTCAGGTCAAGGACCGCGTCGGTCTGGCGTATGGTGTCGAGCGGGGTCAGGATGGGACGCTGCGCGTAGGTGAAGCCGTTGGCCTGGTGCCACTGGATGTAGCCGATCCACAGCGCCGTCCGCGCCAGTTCCGCCGCGTAGTGGTTGATCTCCAGCCCCAGCATCTGGTCCGGTTGCACCGTCGGCGTCAGCCCGTGCCACTCCCGCACCGCCGCGAAGTCGATCACCTCCCTCTCGAAGTCCAGCAGCAACCGCAGCGCGATGTACAGGAAGTTGCCGCTGCCGCACGCCGGGTCCAGCACCCTTACCGACGCCAATCGCTCGCGAAACGCCTCCAGCCGTGTCCGCGCCGCCTCGCCGTCATCGTCATCCAGCAGCCCGTCAATCTCGGCCCGCGCCGTTTCCCACTCCCGGCGCAGCGGCGTCATCACGACGGGCTCCACCACCAGCTCGATGTCGTCCGCGCCGGTGTAGTGCGCCCCGGTCTGCGCCCGCTTGGATGCATCCAGCGCCCGCTCGAACAACGTCCCGAATATCGACGGCTCGATGTCCCGCCAGTTGCGCTCGCACGCCTCGCCCAGCCGTTGCAACGCCACCGTGCTCAGCTCCACCGTGTCCACCACGCTGAACAGGTCGCCATTGAAGTGGGCAATCTGGTCCGCGCCGGCGTGTCCGCCGGTGGCCATTAGCGTGAACAGGCTGCGGATCGCCGCGTCGAAGGTCGCCGGGTCGCGGTAGTGCTGCGCCACGATGCGGGCGAATAGCCCATCCGGCAGCAGCCCCGCGTCCTCCGAGTACAGGCAGAACACCAGCTGGTTCAGGTAGCGCGCCAGCCGTTCGGGGTCCTCATTCTGCGCCTCCATGTCCACCACGATGGACTGGAACAGCGACGCCGTCTCCCGGGTCACCGCGTCCACCGACCGCAGCCGCTCGCGGAACCGGTGCGGCGCGAAGAACACGTCCCGCAGCAGTTCCAGCCGCTCCGGCCTTTCGAACTCGCCGATGTCGAGGTCGTAGCGGGCCGTCTCCATGCCGGGGAAGTTGGTCTGGATGCGGATCGTCTGGAAGGACGACACGATGAGCAGGGGCGGGGTCTTCAGGTGGACCTGGTAGCGCAATAGCTGGTCGAAGGCCCCGTCCAACTGCGCGTCCTTCCCCTTGAACTCCCAGCCGAAATGCTCCTCGAAGTAGGCATCTGCGGATCCGCCCGGCACCGACTTCTCGAAGGTGAACGCCTCCGGGTCGCCGTGGGCCGCTGGCGTCGCGTGGCCCACCAGCCCGCACAGGTCGTTGAAGAACGACTGCGCCCCCTGCCGCTCGCCGAAGCCGGCGTCCCGCCAGCGGGCGACGAACTCCTGGGGCGTGATGGTGGGCATCATCGGCGTCATGGCACACATATCGGGCAGGATAGCACGCCCGGTCGCCGGCGCAACGCGGGCGCCTCGACGTAGCGGTTCCCAGGGTGAGCGCGGGTAATCATCCGCCACCGCGTTGCAGTCTCCCGTGCGTCCTGAGCAGGGTTATTCGATTGTTGTCGTCGGGGATGAAAGGGCGCGACGTTAGAGGTTAACGGAGCAATGCAAACACTTTGGGCAAGAGTCCGTGCTGTGGTGACGAGATTGCCACGCTTCGCTCGCAATGACATTCAAGCGGCGGGGAATGACTTTCAGGTGGCTCGCAGTGACATTGAGGTGGCTCGCAATGACATTCAAGTGGCTTACAATTACGCACTGCATTCCCGTCAGCGCATCGCCACGACACCGGAGGGACCATGAAACGCAGCGCATCCAGAATCCTCACCACCCACACCGGCAGCCTGCCCCGGTCTCCCGAGCTCCAGGACCTGCTGCGGGTGCGCGAGGATCAGCAGAGCTTCGACGAGGCATCGTTCCAGTCCAGCATCCGCGATGCCGTGGGCGACATCCTCGACCGGCAGCAGAACGCTGGCATCGACGTGGTCAACGACGGTGAGCAGGGCCGCTCCCAGTACGCCACCTACGTCAAGGAGCGGCTCACCGGATTCGAGGGCGAGCGCGTGGTGCGTTCCCGTCCGCGCCTGGACGACGCTGATTTCCCGGAGTTTGCCGCCACGCAGACCAGCATGTCCTCGCGCAACATGCCCCAGCCGGCCTGCACCGGCCCCATCGCCTGGAAGGACTGGCCGGCCGTAGAGCGGGACATCGCCAGCCTGCGGGAGGCCGCGTCGGGCCGCCAGGTGGAGGAGGTTTTCATGACCGCCGCCTCGCCGGGGGTTATCGCCAACTTCCTGCCCAACGAGCACTACGCCACCGAGGAGGAGTACCTCTACGCCCTGGCCGAGGTGATGAAGGACGAGTACAACGCCATCGCTGGCGCCGGCCTCATCCTGCAACTGGATTGCCCCGATCTGGCCATGACTCGCGTTTCGCAGTTTTCGCACCTCTCCGTGGAGGAGTTCAAGAAGATCGTCGAGCTGCACGTTGAGGTCATCAACTACGCCCTGAAGGACATCGACCCGGAGCGGATGCGGCCTGCACGTCTGCTGGGGCAACACCGAGGGTCCCCACCACCACGACGTGCCCCTGCGGGAGATCGTGGACACGGTGCTGCGGGCGCGGCCGCTGGGTCTGTCCATCGAGGGCGCCAATCCCCGGCACGGCCACGAGTGGAAGGTGTGGCAGGACGTCGCGCTTCCCGAGGGCAAGGTGCTGATCCCCGGCGTGCTGGACACCACCACCAACTTCATCGAGCATCCGGAGCTCATTGCCCAGCGCATCCTGAACTACGCCAACGTCGTGGGTCGGGAGAACGTCATCGCCGGCAGCGACTGCGGCTTCGGCACCTCCGCCTGGGGCCGCAAGGTGGAGACCAACGTAGCCTGGGCCAAGCTGGCCGCCATGGCGGAAGGCGCCCGCCTGGCCTCCCGGGAACTCTGGTAACCGCTTCCGGACGCGGTGTCAGCCGTACCCGGCATCACATCACGGCGCCACCTCGTACTCCACCTGCGCCACCTTCCGGTCGCCGTCGTATACGTAGACGCCGTAGCGGCCGGGCAACCACGGATCTCCGATTCGCGGACCCACAGAAATGCGCCACCAGCCTATGGTCGTTGCTGGCCGGAATCCCATCGGGATCTGCCGGGGGTAGAAGGCGAATCCGTCCTCAAAATACTCCACGACATCCAAGGATACGGATTTCGTGCTGCTGGTGACTGGCAACATGAAGCCTAGATAAATGTAGGCCCTGTCCACATCCCCTCCCTCGGCGACCGAAAAGGTTTCGGTTTCTCTGGCAAGGAAAGATCTCCAATTCCCTAATGCGTCCCAATCCTTCTCCAAACTCACGAAAGAGGTGACCACTCTCCCTTCAAACGCCTGCAATCTAGGTTGAACAGGTCCAGTGTCGGGCGCCGCGATACCCAGAGGGGTAGGTCCGTTGTACCAAGCGTTGATCACCGTATCTACCGCCGCTATCACCTCCGGCGCCGCGTCCTTCTTGAACGCTGCCTCCACCTCCGCTATGCCGGCGTAGGAGCCACGCCCCTTGGAGGCCAGGTACAGATTGCGGAACCCCTCCCGAAACTGCTCCCGCCCCAGCGTCCGGTACAGATCCAGGAACAGCCGTTCCCCCATCGAGTAGTTGCATCGAAATTCTTTCCACGGACCGCCGTCCGATGGGTGTTGCGGATTTTTCCGATCAACCTCACCCAGGGTCGCGAAAACGGCGCAGGGATACTTATCGGCGGTTAGCGGCGCGCCGGTGCGCGCGTTCTCGACGATGAACTCCATGAACGTCGCCGCCCCCTCGTCGATCCAGTCCTCGTCACCTCCCCAGTAGTAGTGGGCGATCTCATGGGCGGTCAAACTGGGCAGTACCCGGGCTTCCCGGCTGCCGTCGTCGACGTCGTACTTGGCCCGCTGCGCGATCACGTGCCCGAAGTTGGTGCCTGCACTACCTTCCGCAGCGTGGACCGCATCCTTGAAGAGGATCCCGACGTAACGGACCGGGAACGGCTCTCCCATGAACTCCTCGATCGTCCGCACCGTGTGCTCGAGCAGGTCCATGCTGCGTGCCGCGCCGGGCTGGCTGCGCTGTATGGTCAGTTGCACCTCGCCGGCCAGCGGCAGCATGACGTTACGCTGCTCCGTTCCCGGCCCCACCGGCGGGCGCGGAGTGGGTGTCGGCGTCGGCACTGGCGTGGGCGTCGGGGTCGGACGCGGCGTTGAGGTTGGTCGGGGGGTAGCCGTTGGTTTCGGAGTGGGTGTCGGCGTCGGCACCGGCGTAGGCGTGGCCGTCGGACTGGGAGTTGCCGTGGCGGTAGACGTGGGAATGGGTGCAGCCGTCGGCTCCGAAGTTGCCGTGGCTGTTACCGCCGGCGCGACTGGAACCGCCGTCAACATGGGAGCGGGCGTGTCCGTAGGCACAGACTCCGTTGCCATTGCCGTCGGCATCATCGTTACTGCTGCCGGCGCAGCGACCGGCTCCTCGCCGCCGCACGCCAGCAGGGCCACTGCCAGGATTGACATTGCCACTATGTTGAACGTGCGAAACCAGACCATCTACGCGCCCTCCCTGCTGCCGGTTTTGGCGTATCGCCCTAATCCCTCAGCACGATGTGCCGCCGCCATTCCTCCGACGGCTCGGGAAAATCCTCGCGGTAGTGCGCGCCGCGACTCTCCCGCCGTTGCAGCGCCGCCTCGACGATTAGCCGCGCCACCACCAGCATGTTCCGCAGCTCAAAGTCCTCCGCAGCCTGCGGTGCGGGCCCGGATGTCCCATAATATTGGCGCTGCCAGAGGTTCAGGATCCGCGCGGTCAGCAGCAGCCGCGTGCCGTTGCGCGCGATGCCCACGTTGCGCCACATCAGGTCCCGCAGGTTCTCCTTCCCCCGCTCCGGCACGGTGGTGCACACCATGGCCCGGTTCGCCAGCCCGGCGCGCGTGTTGCCGTCGCTCTCGTCCGACGCCTCATACTCCGGCGCGTTGCCCAGCGTCGCCTCCACCAGCCTACGGGAGAACACCAGCGTGTCCAGCAGCGAGTTGCTCGCCAGCCGGTTGGCGCCGTGGACCGCCGCGCAGGCCGCCTCGCCGCAGGCGTACAGGCCGTCGACGTTGGTCCGTCCCCACGTGTCGATTCGGATGCCGCCCATCATGTAATGCGCCGCCGGCGCCACAGGTATGGGCTCCCGGGTGATGTCCAGCCCGTACCGCCGGCACTCGGCGTAGATCGTTGGGAAGCGGCTGGCCACCGTGGCGGCGGGCAGGTGCGATATGTCCAGCATCGCCGGCCGGCCGTCGGCCCGCTCCATCTCCGACGCGATGGCCCGCGACACCACGTCCCGGGGCGCCAGGTCTCCCATGGCGTGATGGGACGCCATGAAAGGGTCTCCGTGCGCGTTGCGCAGTATCGCCCCCTCGCCGCGCATCGCCTCCGACAGCAGGAAGGTGGGCGCGCCCTCCAGCCATAGCGCGGTGGGATGAAACTGGTAGAACTCCATGTCCATCACCTCCGCGCCGGCCAGGTATGCCAACGCCACGCCGTCGCCGGTCGCCACCTCCGGGTTGGTGGTGTAGCGATACAGCCGGCCGGCCCCGCCGGTGCTCACGACCACAACGTCGCTCTGGAACACCTGCCGGCCGGTGTCGCCGTTGGTTCCCATCACCTCGACGCCGGCTGCCGCGCCGTCGGCGACGCAGACGCGGATGGCGTGGGTGTACTCCAGGACCGTGATGCGCTCTGATATTCGCACCCGGTGGGCCAGGGTGTCCTCGATGTGCTGGCCGGTGGCATCGCCCCCGGCGTGCAGGATCCGCGGCATGCTGTGCGCGCCCTCGCGCCCCAGGGCGATCTGCCCGTGGATGGTGTCGAAGGGGACGCCCCACCGGATCAGGCCGGCGATGCTGTCCGGCCCCTGCCCGGTGAGAACGCCCACCGCCTCAGGACTGCACAGGCCGGCGCCGGCTTCCAGGGTGTCCCGCTCGTGCAGCGTTGCCGAATCCCCGGGGCCGATAGCCGCCGCGATGCCGCCCTGGGCGTACCGGCTGTTGCAGTCGTCAATCCGGCCCTTGGTCACCACCAGCACGCTGCCGTGCTCGGCCGCCAGCAGCGCGGTGTTCAGCCCGGCGATCCCGCTGCCGATGACGATGTAGTCGTAGCTCGTTCGGTCCATCTCAATAATCGGCATCACTCACCGTTTGCAATCGTGTCCCAGCGCCAGGGCCGCGCTGCGGTCCTGAGCTGCGCTTTGTTCATTCCCCAGCGCCCGGAGAGCGCGACTCCGATTGCAGTAGGCTGGCGCAAATTCGGGATCAAGCCGGATGGCCGCACCGCAGTCCTGTATGGCATGGTCAAAGGCGTTGGTGTCGACATAAGCGCCGCACCGGTTGCCATAGGCGTCGGCATCTTCCGGATTGAGTATGATGGCGATGCTGTAGTCCGAAATGGCCTGGTCATACTCGCCTTTGTCGTGGCGGGTGCCGCCCCGGTTGAAATAGGGCGCGGGCCATGCCGGGTCGAGGCGGATGACCGCGTCGTAGTTTTGCGATGGCCCGGTCAGTAGCTCGCCTTTGTGGGCGTAAGCGAGGCCCCGGTTGTTGTACGCTTCCGATAGCTCCGGGTCGGCCTGGATGGCGGCGTCGTAAGCCTCAATGGCCCCGTCGAGCTCCCCTTCCATGAGTTTTGCGTTGCCCTCTTTCGCCTTCCGGAACGCCGGGTCCAGCGCACAGGCGATGCTCAACACCATAGCCACGGCAACCAACGCCGGCAGTCCGAGCTGGAGCAGCCGTCGGCTGAACCGTACTCCGCAGCCGTCGCCGTTGGGCGAGCGATTGCTTCTGCTATGGAGCGGGCAGGGACCCATCCCGTGGTCCTGTATACGCTTAGTGGGGGCGAATAATATTCGCCCCCACGATCGGCCGGTGATTGTCGCGACGGTTGTCTAGTCGTCGGCGCCCACCGCTGCCGGCTCCTCGATAGGCTCCAACTGCCACGGGAAATTCCCGTCGAACAGGAACCCTTCCTTGTTGCCCCACTCGGCCTCGGGAGCCTCGTAGTAGATCTCGATCTCGTTGTCGTCCGGATCGAAGATATAGACGCCCATGGAGATGCCGTGGTCGCCGAGCCGCTTGAAGCGGACGCCGTGGTCCTTGCACCGCTGGTAGAGCTCCTTGAGGTCGCGGAAAGAGTTCATCTGCCAGGCCATGTGGGCCATGCCCACCCGCCGGTCCTCGGGGCCGGGCGCGTCCATGCCCAGAGGGACCAGGGCCAGCTCATGGGACATGGTGGTGTCGGCGGACAGGAATGTCATCCCGCCCGGGCGCCCGGTCATCACCGTGAGGCCAAGGACATTCGTGTAAAAATCAACGCTGCGCTCGATGTCCCGGACCTTGATGACCAGGTGACCAAGCTGCTTCGGTGTGTGGGCCATATCGATACCTCCCATGTTGGCGATTTGCGATTTACCTTTAGCCGCATTATATCCCACGGGGACAATAGTGTGCATTGTGGGATTTTATGGTAAAACCACCCTTGATAACCTCCGATAATTGATTGATTGTTCCCAGTATAATGGGCCACTGCCAGCTAGGATGCCGTCCCAGCCGTATGTGATGGATATGACGCAACGCAACGTCGCGGAGTCGGGGTCGCTGCCCGTGGACGAAGTATCCACGAACGGCAGTAACGACAATGCTCCCCGGCTGACGTTCAAACAGGCCGACGAGCCGTGGGAGTTCGAGGAAATCTCCCAGCTGAACTATGCCTCTTCGTCGAGGAGGTGCCCCAGCATCCATCCAACGACGCCGGCACGCTGGTGGACCGCTTCCACGACGAGAACACCTACTTCATCTGCCGCCGGGACCAGGATCTCGTGGGCATGATCTGTGTCCGCGACCGCCGGCCCTTTTCCCTGGACGAGAAGCTGGGCAGTCTGGAAGAGTACCTGCCCCAGGCGGAGGGCGCCCGGGTGTGCGAGGTACGCCTGCTGACTGTGCGACCGGATATGCGGCGCTCTCGCGTCCTGACCGGCCTGCTCACGATGATGGCCCACTACTGCCACGAGGGCGGATACGACTACGTGGTGATGTCCGGGCGGGTGTCCCAGCAGGCCCTGTATCGGCACATCGGCTTCATCCCCTTTGGCCCCGTCGTCGGTGATGACGCCGCGCCCTACCAGCCCATGTACCGGCCCGTGGGCAACGTGGGCGCCGAGTTCGCCGGCCTGTTTCACGACCAGGTGGACGCGCCCACCGGCGAGCCGGTGATCCTGACGCCGGGCCCGGTGGCAATGCCCGAGGCGGTGGTGCGGGCCTTTCAGCGTCCGCCGCTTTCACATCGCTCTCCGGAATTTGCCAACCTGATGCAGAGCGTTCGCCGGCGGCTGCGCGCCCTCACCAACGCCAACCACTGCGCCGTGATGGTCGGCTCCGGCACGCTGGCCAACGACGTGGTCGCCGCCCAGCTGTCCCGCCTGGATGCGCCGGGCGTGGTCGTTACGTCCGGAGAGTTTGGCGAACGGTTGCTGGATCACGCCAACCGCATGGGCCTGCGCTACACGGCCGTGCAGCACGAATGGGGCAGCCCCCTGGATTATGAACGCATTGAAGGAGCGTTGGCCGAGGCGGTGGACGGACAGCCCGCGGGTTGGCTCTGGATGCCCCACTGTGAGACCTCCACCGGAGCCCTTGCCGACCTGGCCCGCCTCAAAACAATGTGCCAGCGACACGACGCCCGGCTTGCCCTGGACTGCATCAGCAGCATCGGCGCGACGCCGGTGGACCTCAGCGACGTGTGGCTGGCCAGCGGAGCCAGCGGCAAGGCCCTCGCCGCTTACCCGGGCCTCGGCGTGGTGTTCTCCGGCTACCGGCCCGAGTCCGATGAAACCCTGCCGCGCTACCTGGACCTGGGGCTGCACTGCGCCGGCGAAGACAGCGGCGCGGTGCCCTTCACGCTGTCCTCCAACCTGCTGGCGGCGCTGGACGCCGGCCTTGCCCGCCAGTCCGAAACCCTGCTGTCCCGCATCGACCAGGAAGGCCGCTGGCTCCGCCGGCAGTTGCGCGACCTGGGCTTCACCGTGGTGGCCGCCGAGGAAGAGAGCGCTGGCGCGGTAACCACCATCGCCCTGCCCTCACGCTCCTTGGCTGATCGCGGTCTTGAGGCCCTGGAGATGGGCCGGGACCTGGAGTCCCACGGCTTTTACACCTCCTACGCCAGCGGTTACCTGCGCCGGCGCAACTGGCTCCAGATCTGCCTCATGGGCGAAACCCATCGCGGGCAGTTGGAAAGATTGCTACCGGTGCTGGCCGCCCAACTCGACCGCATGACGCGCGCCGGCGCAACCGCGTAAACCCGGTACTCATCGCGGTTCGTTCGTCCTGTTTACCGCGTCGGTTTCCCTCGCCGCGAGCGCTTGTACCTCAGCGCCCCTCGCGGTTGGTACGCGCCGATGGCTGGAGCATGATAGTTCCCAAAATTGGCGTTGCGCAAAAATCAGGTTTTTGGGTACTGAACCTTCGGGTCTTGAACTAAAAAATGTCCCGGCGATTAACCCACGACCGCCGGCAGTTCGATCCTGGCGCAGCTTCGCTTGACCCTTCTCGCAATCGCGAAATATCATCAAACTCCACCAAAATGCCCAGAGGTTGGAAACATGACCGCCACTCCTGAAACCCTCGAAAAAATCGCCAGCATAATCAGGGATGAGCTGCCCAAGTACCTGTCCCACGACTTCATCATCTGCGATGTGAAAGCGCAGAACCGGCCCGGCCCATACGACGAGGACTTCGTGCATATCCGGGTGGTCCTTGATGATGACCATCCAAAACTCGACCCTCGAAAAACGATCGAGTTCAGCAGCGATATGCACACCCTCCTGGAGCAGCTCGGAATATTTCACCCACCGCACATCTCCTATCCCAGCCGGAGCGAGCTCAGCCGATGACCGTATCCGGAAGCTCGCCGCCAACCCCAGTTGATTGGCGAAACCTCATCCAGGCAGGACGCGACCTACTGAACCCGCAACTAGCGGAGCATATTGCCACCGACGAACACGTTCGCAGAGCAATTAGCAACGCCTACTACGCCTTGTTCCACGCACTGGCAGAGAACAATGCCTCCACACTCATCAGCTCGCCCAGCAACGCGATAAACGCCTCCGCTTGGTCGCGGGTTTACCGCGGACTCGACCACAGCACCGCCCACCGCGAACTCCAGAGACACCGCCATGAACTCTCCGTTCCGGCCCGGAGCTTCGCGGACACGTTCAGCAAAATACAACATTTCCGCTACCTGGCCGATTATGACCACAACGCTGCCTTCACCACCGACGAGGCAATCGCACAGCTCGCCCAGGCCGAGACATCTATCCTCGACTACTCACAAGTCTCTCCAAGCGAGAGGTTATACATCGCTACCCTGACCTTAATCAGATCACGCTAGCCGCCATCCCACAGTGACACCCGCTTCCTTCACGGGCCTACCAAACGGCTGTTACCTTTCGTCCCCGCGTTGAATTAGGTCCAGGCAGCCAAGGTAACCGAGCCCTCCGGCGCTGATGCCGGCAATGCAGCTCATGAAAGTGGCAATGTCTGCATCGTATGCCGTCGCCATATCGGCCAGCAGATCGTGGCAGGCCGCGAAATCAATTGATTCCAGGTAGAGTCCAATCGCGCAACTCACGAATGGAGTGAGGTCATCGGCGGATCGGGTTGTCGGCTCTGGTTGCGCATGTGACGCGTCAGGCAACAGGCCAGCATTCCTTATTGTCGTTAATCACCCAGATCCACCATCAGGGAAACCAGCTCCACGACGCCGGTCTCGTCGTAAGACGCGGCCCGTGTCTGTCCCGTAGGCCGGACGGCAACATCCACCTGCGCCTTCGCGACATCAATGCCTACGTATCTCGGTTTCTCTTCCATCTGTACCTCCGGTGTGAGCGCTGGCCCGTCCTTGCACGATGCGGGCTCGATTGGCCCCGGCAACTGTTCGGGCTCTGCTCGCAGGGAGCGCGGCGACCCTCGCTACTGGACGGTCTGTCGTGACCCAGGGGATGACGGTCTGCCGCGCTCGGCTCCACCGCCAAAGTCAAGATAAAAGAGTATGGACGTCCAGTCCCCTTCGGGTATGGCTTCGATGAGATTGCGCAAGATTTGGTGTTGGCGCACGTTGATGGAGAAGCGGACATCCAGCTTTCGGCAGACGGCGACGATGGCGTGGGTGCAAAAGCCGCTGTCGGCACGCGCGGTGAGTTGTCCGGTGGCCCCGCCGTAGCGCACTCGTCCCACGGTTTCACTCAGGAAGTGGGCGGTGCCCCGCGCCGTGTTGGCCCGACCCTGGCGCAGTCCGGACATCAGCACGCCGTCGGTTCCGGTGACGATGGTCAGTAGTGGGTGATAGCCCTGTAGCCGGTGTAGCCGTGGTGGCGGGCTCCTTCCTTGCCCAGTCTGTAAGTCTCACAGACGGTGGAGTCAACAATGGTCAATGGCCCACTGCCCAATCCCGCCCCAGCCGACCATGCCCGAGCCAGCAGCTCCCGGCTCACTCGGTCCAGTTGACGAGCGTAGCCCCACCGGAAGCTGCGCAAGAAGGTGCCCGGGGTGGACGGCGCCTTCGCCGTGCAGCACAGGACCCGCCCGGTCCAGCCGGTACGCAGCACGTCGGCGTCGTCGATGCCGTCGCCACCGGCCAGGGCCGACGCCACCAGCGTCAGCATCTTGTCTCCAGTATTCGCCCGACCTGGCACGTCCCCCAGGTCAACGTGGCTATCGACGAGTTCACCCAGCCCCAAGCGCTGGGCCGAGGTGAGGGGCAGGCGCAGCCCAGCATTGGCCACCAGGCGGTGGTCGTCGAAGGCGATTTGGATGCGGTCGGGATAGTTGTGTGGTAGCATTCGCTTGGAGCTCTTTTTTTGTTCGGTTTGGTGTTTCACAAACCATTACCCCAGAAGCAAAGGAGTGCTTTCTTACACCTTCAACCCATCGTCACACTCATCTCTTCGGTGGATTGG